AAAAAAAAAAAAAAAACCTTATGTCGACATTTTGATTGCGGTACTTGAGAACCCTCTGTTGCAACCAATATGATGCCAAGAGGGGATATTTTATATCCTTAATGGACTCATTGGGCAGTGTTATCGTGATGGAAATGCCCGATGAGGCAAAGGCTCTCAGGACATTGTCGCTGGGGCTAAATAACTTCAAGTGACGAATTTCATTTTGTAACATCAAGTCGACCACCATGGACGGGATCAACCTGTGCGTCGTTTGCCTGCCCCAGTTTATGCCGATTACGCCCTCCACCCTCGCAAACCAACAACACGAGATTAGTAGTGATGCTATTATCAAATTTATGGCCATGAAGGGTGGTTTTATTTCAGATGACCCCATATTTGGTTCATCAGATTTTATTTAACAACATGAAAATCTAATGATTTTTGTCTATGGAGTGGAAAAGGGGGAAGAAACTTGGTGTTCTCAGGTTCTCGTTAGGGGAGAAAAGGGAGAAAATGAATGGAAAAAACATGTCTTGTTTTGGGGATATGCTACGGTCCCGTTACAGTACCATCTCGTCGGGTGTTTTAACCGTTGGATTCACGTGTAGTTAGATAACATAGATGATCCAACGGTTAAAACACCCGACGGGATGGTACCGTAACGGGACCGTAGCATTTCCTCTTGTTTTGTACGTTGACCACCCTGAAAAATAGGTCAACAGGTTTGTTCATGGTCGCAAAAAAATCCTAAAACCCAATACAGTTGACTTTTTCCCCATTTTCTTTGGTAAGTGAAAGATTCCAAACAAGGTAATTTATAGAACATTCATCATTGATATTTTATAATAGGCAAAATTGCATATTAATACACCACCTTTCACGGTTTTGTAATTTAATCACCATCTTTGCAATTTAGCAATTTAATACACAACTTTGACTATTTTTTGCAATTCGAAGCATAGGGCCGAATTTCGGGCTTTTTTGTGCTAATGTGGCAGTTTACGGCTGACGTGGCATTCAGTGTGTCAATGACATGGCCTTTTTTGCTGACAGAGTGTCCTACATGTTAATTGGAATAAAAAAAAAAAAATTGTTGATCAAGAGATTCGAACCTTAAACTTGAGGTTGTATTGTAGCTCCACAACCACCACGCCAATCCAACTTAGTTGATAAATTTGGCCGCGTTTTATATATATAGACATTACCTGTAAATAAATAAAATTAATAAAATATATTAAATGATAATATATTAAATTTAAATAAATTAAATATATTCAATTAAATAAATCGAATTAAAAAAATAAATTAAATTTAAATGATAATGCAAATTATATTAAATTAAATTATAAAATATAAATTCTAATAAATTAAATTAAAAAATAAATAAAAAATATTAAAAATATTAAAATAAAAAATTAATAAATTAAATTATAAAAAATAAATAAATAAAATAATAAAAAATAAATATAAAAAATTAATAAAATAAATAAAAATAATAAAAAAAAATTAATATTATAGAGATTCCTCTTGCACGATATTTTGTGCTACAAATGTGTTTGAAGTTTGAATTTAGACAAAAAGTAATAAAAAATAAATAAAAAAAAAATAAAACAATTATTTAATATATTATTTAATTTAATATATTTAAATTTAATATATTATCATTTAATATATTTTATTAATTTTATTTATTCACAGGTAATGTCTATATATAAAACGCGACCAAATTTACTAGCTAAATTAGATTGGTGTGGTGGTTGCGGAACAACAATACAACCTCAAGGTTTAAGGTTCGGATCTCTTGACCAACACTTTTTTTTTTTTTTATTCTAATTAACATGCAGGACGCTCTGTCAGCAAAAAAAGTCATTGACATACTGAATGCCACGTCAGCCGTAAACTGCCACATTAGCACAAAAAGGCCCGAAATTTAGCCCTATGCTTCGAATTGCAAAAAATAGTCAAAGTTGTGTATTAAATTGCTAAATTGCAAAGGTGGTGATTAAATTACAAAATCATCAAAGGTGGTGTATTAATATACAATTTTGCCTTTATAATATAATATAAAAAATGTTACAAAGGTAATTTAGAGAGTATTTGCTCTTTTCGATTTTCACCAAATTGTTGCAAGATATGGATATGGATTTGACCAAGAAACCATTAATTTTTATCATTTTTTTTTTTAACTCATAAATTTTCTCATTTTTTTTTTAACTCGACTTGATTCAACCACACTATCCTCAATATTATCAATATAATTAAACAATAAAAATCAATCATTCTTACAGATCAGATCAACTTCAATTCACAATTCATCTAGTCACATAAGTTTAACTAACCATCATTTCACATCGCATCTTTCCTACTTTACATCAAATAAACTTTACTATGTTTATTTCAATTTTAATATAAACTCGGAATCTCACTAACAATTAATCATACCACATTTTTTAAAATTAACTATGGTTAACAATTGTTGACGAGTGATCGTCAAAGGACCTTAATAACATGATTAAGAAAGTATGGATTATTATCAAATAAGGGCCCAATATGATTTTTGTAGACGAAAGATAAAGTGTTGTATCAAATAGAAAAAAGAATAAAGAACACGATTTCTCTGATCTATGAGAGATCGGCTAGGAGAAAAGTTCTCTGAAAGTGAGAC